AGTGGGGAACTTAATAGAGGACTGAGTTTGCACAGCTGTGGCCAATTTGAATGAGAGGAATAAAGAGAAGGATCTATCCTTCTCCTTGCTGCTTGCTTATCTCCAGCCTAAATGCCAAAGGCAAAAATATTAATTGAACAAACCCCTCTTCACCAATTTTTAGAGCACTATATAGTATTTTGAAACTAACTATATAATTCTGCTAGTAGAAAAGGCAGCAAAACACAATGCTTATCTGTGCCTTTCACCTCGCCTCCTAAAACATATAAATTAGTTCTTTGCACTCATTAAAATCATGATAAAAATAGTCAATTTGCATAACATTTTGTTAGCTTCTATGGAAGCTATTCCACCTTATCAAATGAATAAGTTAAAATGTTTATTGAATGAGATAATGAGTGAATTGAATAATTTTCTCTTCAAAAATTCTTCTTTTCTAACTTACAGGAAGACATTGTTGCTTCATTTCCAGTCAAATAGCAGCAAAAGTATATGATGCTGATATTGATGGAGACTGCTGAAAAGGACCAGTATAAATCTTTAATTGTGTTCAATATCAAAAGTTTGTGCACTGGTCATTAAAACCCATAAAATATGTAAATTTAGGGGGGTGGTGAACCAGTTACTCTGTACTAAATGGAACTGGCATTTAATTCTGGGAAATAGAACAAAATGAAATATACATATTTATAAAATTCCAAGAATAACCTAAGTACTTTAAAAGGCTTTTTGTTTCATTCTAAAGCAAAACGAGAAGAAAAGGAAACATTTCATTTATGCAAAATCATATTCATACTGCAGTGACACCCTTGAGAGATTGTGCTGCTTTTTTCTGAAGGCTGGCTGAAGGTCCAGTGAACAGACGGTTTTGGTAGCTCAGTATTGTCAAACGTCAAGACAAATAAAAATTCTTGAGGCATAAAGTTCTGCAGCTTTGGAACTTTATGTGAGCAATGTCTGCTCTCTTCTATTAACAAGAAGGTTAAAGGTGGGGATTTAACTCCATGATAACGCCTTATCGAATATACAAATTCAGGAATGCCAGCATATCTGGGCAAAGCCTAAACAATCTCCACCGGGATGCCCAAATCCACAGGACTTGCCTAGCTGTGTTTAACATACACACTCAAACAAAACACTGATCACGTTATATATAAACCTTTCTGTTATAGATATGTATCACTATTTACTTCTGAACTCTGTATTCATTTTTATAGTGTGTTATGATTTGAATGTGTCTCTCAAAATTCATGTGTTGAGAAAGGGGAGGTACTAGAGAATGAAATAGAATGAATTATGCTATACACATGTATTAATGTATCATAATTAATCCCACTTTATGTATAATTATAATGCATGAATTGAAAAAGTACTAGAAGCAAGACCAGTAAAGGAAGGGGAGGGAGGATGGGAGGGAAAGGAGAAGTACTGGGAAATGAAATGGAGCAAATTACGTTATATGCATGTATGAATATGTCACAATGAACCCTGCTATTATGTATAATTATAATGCACCAATAAAAAACATAATAAAACAATTAAAATTATACCAAAGAGAATAATAGTAATTGTTAGAGAAGACTTTATTTAGAATTGAAAGTTATATAAAAATATTGAAATGAATAAAGAAGAGACATAAAATTTTTTTTTAAAAAAATCATATGTTGAAAACTTAATCCCCATGCAAGAATATTGGGAGGTGGGGCCCCTATGAGTCTCAGTTAAAGCTCTGATTTATTATCTGCATTATTTTACCTTTCTGAAGCTCAGTTGCTTTATCTGAAAGTAGAGATAATGTAATAACTCAATAAATGGCAGATAACCTGACATTTACTACTCTACCCCAGTGCTGGTCTAAGTGCCATTCTTATAAGCTCACTGAAATAAGATGTAGCTGTGAGACAGATTAATTAGTATTTTTATTTTATACTGTATGGTACTGGAGAACAGTGAGATTAAGAAAGTGATTAAAGCTGAAAAGATGAGAACTCTAAGGAGCAGTGAGATGCTGCAACTTTGGCAGAATAGAATGGGAGGAGCTGGGGAAGTACTTGCCTTTCTTGCTGCCTCTCAAAGGGTTTGTCAAAGTGCAAACATAAAATAAGGCAAAACCTACATTACTGCTTTATTATCCAATGTGATTGTTATGATTTTCATTGTTATTACCATCATCATCATCATCTATAAAGCATTATTAGATCCAATAAGTTAAGAGTTACTTGTTCCTTCTTTCTTTCTTTATTTTTGATTCTCTATACTCTACAAAATCTGAGAGGAAACACAGTATGTAGTACATTATTTATGTTGGCTTTTTCCTGAATATATCTGCCTTCCTAGTTACAGGAGAATCAAAAGGACATTTGTGCCTCCTTCAAGTTACCTAGTTCCCACTTAGTATTCACATACCTTTAACATCTTGGTAGCCAACCACTGTAGACTTTAACTTTCTCAATGCTTAAAACATGCACAGTAAAGGAAGGCTTGGTTATTTTAGCAGAATCTTCTTTCTTACCATGTCCTGTCACAAGGAACTGAATTCTCTTACAATTGTCATCGTTTTTCCCTCATGATAGAGAAACACGGAATAATGAGATGATTAAGGAAAGGGAAACCACAAGTTTAGAGACTCAGAGTTTCACTGTGTCACAGCAGACTTTGAATGCCTCATCTGAGCCACCCCCTCTGGCTCTTTTTCAATGGCATTTGTCATTACCTGGTTTCCTTTCATATTCCTAACATATAATAAAAGTGGGCTGTATTTATCTCTGTGAAATGATTATTCCATTAAAAATTCTACCCACACTTTAAATCTAGCAAAACTCTTCATTTTACTAAATCATCAGAATTGGGATCCTTAAAAAAAAAAAGAAAGAAAGAAAGTGTAGCCTTTGGGATTTTAAAAATTTCAGTAATTTAAATTTTTGCAGAAAGTTTATGGTATAAAATAGCAAGTAGGTTCATGGTATAAAATAGTATTCGATAAACTTTCCAGAAAATAAACTGTAATAATTATAATTATTAGAAAGCAGGCAAGTCAAATGCAGAATTTTTAATTTATATCCCTTCTTATAATGTACTTCATTTTATCTTTATTTTATACAGAGGAAATATTCATTATTCCCTCTTTCTGGACATACTTGTCACCACTGTGGCTTCAGCACACATTATCCCATAGCATCAATGACATTTTAAAAACACCTAGCCCTGGATTTTATTTGTATATATTAATTAAGTTTCATAAGCAAGCTTAGTTTAAGAAATTTTGTGAACTGGATTGTTTCTGTTTATTTTTTAAATATACCCCCCACAACACACACACGTACACACATTCAAGGTTGTGTATCAGAGAAAGAGAAAATCCATTTTGCAAGTTAAAAGGTGCTGATAATTATTTATGACTACATAAAATTGCCCATAATTTAATAACATACAGGACAATTTTAATGTCACGTGATATTTCCACAGATTTTCTTTTTCTGAGGTTTCCCAGCTAATCTCAAAGGAAGGAACATTTGATGTCTGTGTAAGGTAATTGTAGTTTTAAACTCTGACATTGTTGTGGTACCCTCAGAAGTCACATTTGTTCATCTCAAAACCTAATTTATACTTTTATTTAAACCAGGGATTCCCAAGATTTTTCAAAAGTGGATCTATTTGTCCATGTACATTCCTCATTTAATTGTAGAAATTTAGGACTAGAAAATACCTGTTTTAGCTAAAAGAAGCTAACGCTGAAAGTCAGTGACTTTGAAGGAAAAGATTGGTGATTGCAGAAATTGATATAATAATGTCCAAATCTGGAGGAAGGAAAGTGTTGGCAAATCCAAGCTAATTTCCCCTCTCTTCTAGAAATGACAGGGCATTACACTGATAGATACACTCTAGTATCTTGTTGGCTAAGAATCAGACAGTTGGCTATATACTTGGCAATACCTCTATTATAAATGGTATAATAATAAACTATAAAGAAGTTAAAAACTACTTATAGTAATTCTTATTGTGTATAAAAAGGCAAAACCCTCATATAGTCTCCACTTTGAATATTTACCATTCAGAAGAGACAACGGAAATAACTGAACCCTGGTTCTATGTTTTACAAAATGCAATGAGAGAGGACTCCTTTCTCCAGAAGATATACCCTGATGAAACATCTTCTGGAACATAATAAGAAACTAATAAAATAAAACAGATGATTCTTTCCAAATATGCTTATGTGAAAATCAAACTACAAAAATAAACAGCTTATCTAGTTGGACTGTTTATATTAGTATTTGTTACCCTTCCTATAAAAAAGCCCTCTACTCTGAAACTGTGTGATCCATATAAAATTCCATTTAAAAGTTGCAGAGTTATTCATTACTGGTTAAATTACTCAAGATGTTGCTATGCTTCTAACAAGAAATAAACTAAGAAATTTGCCAAATCAAATCAATAAATGGTTATCGGTTCCCATTATGAAAGTTTTTGCATTATGTAGCTTCAAAAATTAATCTACCAAAAGGCAATAATTTGGGCAGTAACTAGGATATTTACATGTATTCTTTTAGAATTAAAGGAGTTTCACTTAATTGATTAACCATGGTTTCACTGATAATGCAATGCACATTTTAATATGCTTTGCTATTTCCTTGTAACTGTCAACATAAGATTCTTAGTTAATATCATAATTTCATTCTTTAACCAAGAATAAGTATGTAGTTCAAATTTGTCTAGAATTACAAGTTTAATTTTTTTTAAATAACAATGAATTTAGAGAACTAGCTATACAGAATTCTTACTGAGCAATATCAGGATTTACAGTTACTTATATCAATAGTATAAGTTGACTTATAATGAAAGTTTACTTATAAAGCATAAAAACCTGTATTCTGTATTAAGGCTTCTAGTTAAAGAGATATAGATAAATTATTCTTAAGTTCAAGTAAAAAATGCATTTTGAAACTTACGATGACAATTTGCTTTTAAATAATATGTATATTTAAGTAACTAAAATCCATTACCTTATAAATATCCAAAAATCCACACTGGTGGTCGAATCTAGTGTACAGTTCATTCAGCATGCTGATCACCTGCATGGGGGTACACTGGGCACATATGGCTGTGAAGCCTACAATGTCTGAAAAGAGCATGGTGACATCATCAAACTTTCTGGCTTGCACTTGCTGCCCTTGCCACAACTGCTGGGCCACATCGCCAGGGAAAATAGAATACAGAAGATCCACTGTCTTCTTTTTCTCTTCTTCCAGGGCCTGGTGAGTTCTTTCCAAAGTTGCCTTTAATTTGTCCATCCTCTTCTTCAAGCCATCTTGGGCTTTTGCCTGCTCGCCAACCAAAATGACATCTCGGGTGGCATCATGGATAGGGATATCTGAGAGATGCAGGCCCCGGCCCATGAGTTCATCCAACTTGTCCACACATGGGGAGCCCAGAAATAAAATGGAATTTGATTCTGGCACATGGATCATTTGACCTTTTACTTCCATCACCTGTGAAATTAACATGGAATTTTGATCAATATTTTTCCTTCATATGATATGTTGAAAAAAGCTTTATTATTTGATGAGTAGGATGAACAAGAAATAAAACATTTCAAATTCAAATTGCAACTTACAAATTCAGATTCATCTTGCCAACTACTCCCTTGAGGGTCCTCATAATAAGGGCTTTTAGCTATTAGTTTTTTTAAACCTCAGAGTAGTCATGTGACATACTCTTTTCATTTTAAAGAATGAAATATGACTGGTGATTGTCAAAGTTACTAGAAACAATATACTAATTTATGAAGAAAAAAATTATGTGTACAGTTTTATGTAATAAAGGCCAGAGAAATTTTTGGTCCTGGTTCTTTATCTGGTTGATGGGGAACACTGCCTACCTGATACACGAATGATGCAAACTATTGTTTTCTAAAATATGAGCTATAAACTGAATCAGAACTAAATTAACATAATATCTCTGCTACCTACTAGATTTATTTTCAAAAGGGATATAATAACACCTATGCCACAAGATTGTTCTGGAAAATAAGTGATATATTACAATTAAAGCATTGGGCACTGTGACTGGAACACAGTTTGTGTTCAACAAAAATGGATTTCCTCAGTTTGGTTTTGATTTAAGAAATCTGCACATTTAAATCACACAAATTGTTAAGTAGTAAATAGTGGGAGAATTATTTATAGCATTTTTTGCTGGATAGCAGCATTAATTTAAGGTTTAGTTTTGGAAAAGGTTAATAGAAACACCCCAATTTGCCAAGATTTTCCCATTGCACTGACCTTATGCTATCAGATGAGAAAGAACTGTGTTGTCTGGAATGTTAATTTCCATTTTACTAAACTCACCCAATAACGAATTATTAAAAAATTGATGGTGATACAACTGACATATTTACATTCTAAACCTTGCCAGAAATCCTATACTGAAGGGCCTGAGGCTATCTGAAACAATTGTTCAATGACAAGAATTGTTTATGGAGAAAAGCTAATATTATGAAGTATTATTTTAAGTAAACATATTAACATAACAAATGGAGAGTAAAATTTAAAATTGCAAAATATGCAGAACCAAAAGCTGAGTTGCTCATACTGACATAACAAAGTGGTCAGTAATGAGGGTGAACAAATTGTTTGAGTTCAGAAATCAATTTTTTACAGTGTATTGATACACAAAGGATATCTATCATGTAATAGCACAGTTAACTATAAAAGATTAGTGAGAATCATTCACTTGCAGCATTGGGTAATATTTATGTTGAGGTATGATTCTTTAAGAATTTATTTTTCATAAGATGGCACTGAATTTTTTCAAGTGCCTTTTCTGTATGTATTTAGATGATCATATGGTTTTGATCCTTCATTTGTTAATGTAGGGTATTACATTCACTGATTGCCTCTGTGAAGCTTCCCATATCCTTGCATCCCAGGGATCAATCTCACTTGATCACAGAATATAATCCTTTCAATGTGTTGTTAATTTGGTTTGCTGGTATTTTGTTGAAGATCTTGTCTAACAATGAGTAATTTCAAAAATACCCTTTTATATAATCCATTGTCAAAGAGAAATTGTCAAAGGAAATTTCAAAATCTAATATGGAATGAAAAAAAGGCTGTATAACATTAAAATAAACAACATACAACAGTGTTGAGAGGTAATTTGTCACTCTAAAATGCTTTATTTCAAAAAAAAGATCATTAGTCTATAATATAAACTCCTACATCAAGAAAAATAAGAGAAAAATAATCCAAAGCTAAAAGAAAAAAGGAAGTAATAAGCATAAGTATGTTGGTTAATGACATTGAAATCAGGGCGGGGGATGGAGGGGGATAAAGAAAATGAACAAAAAAATTCAAAAACATCAGCAAATCTAATAAGACTGATAAAATAATAAGTGAGAAAACAAATCACCAGCATCAGGAACAAAACAGAATAGCATTATAAATAATAGAGCATCAAAAGTATAATTGAGGTACATTTTGGACAACTGTACCCTACAAAATATTTTTGACAATTTAGAAGAAATGAATCAATCCTGTGAAAACTACAAACTACCCAAACTCAACCAAGATGAAGTGGATAATCAGAAAAATTTTAATCATAAAGACACTAAATCTATGGAGACTATCATGCTAAGTGAAATAAGCCAATCCCCTAAAACTAAAGGCCAAGAATGTTCTCTCTCATATGCAGATGCTAACACACAATAAGGCAGTGGGCAGAATAGAAATTCATTGGATTAAGCCAGGCGAGATGGCAGAGGCCTGTAATCCCAGTGGCTCAGGAGGCTGAGACAAGAAGATCCAGAGTTCAAAACCAGCCTCAGCAAAAGCGAGACAATAAGCAATTCAGTGAGACCCTGTCTCTAAATAAAAGAAAAAATAGACTGGGGATGTGGCTCAGTAGTCAAGTGCCCCTGAGTTTAATCCCTGCTACAAAAAAAGAAAAAAGAAGAGGAGGAGGAGGAGGAGGAGGAGGAGGAGGAGGAGGAGGAGGAAGTTGTTCATTGGATTAGACAAAGGGGAATGAAGGGAAGGGAGGAGGAATGGGAATAGGAAAGACAGTAGAATAAACTTAATATAACTTTCCTATGTTCATATATGAATACACCATCAATTAAATCCCACATTATGTACAACCACAAGAATGGGATCCTAATCAGAGTAAATTATATTCCATGTATATATAATATATCAAAACACACTCTACTTTCATGTATAATTTTAAAAAAGACACTGAATTTATAATCCAGACATATCTTGAAAAAGAATTTTCAGGACTAGTTGATCCTCCTGGAAAATTCAGCCATATATTTGCAGAAGTATTAATACAAAATTTACATAATTACTTCCAGAAAATAAAAGAGAAGGACACACTTAAATGAGGTGTATCTCCACACTTTCCAAAAAAAAATCCATCAGCTCACTGACAGAAGAAATTATTTATTTGCCCTTGCATATCTATAATCTAGCTAGTATGTGATGATCCACATGTAATGAGAGGCATGTTTAACCAGAACTACACAATCCCAATATGTAGTTTCTTCAAACTGTATAGGTAAATGTCATCTAAATGCAAAGACTTATCTTTCTGTAAAGTATATTATTTAAGCCTTGAGTGTTATGCTTACCTAAAACTATTTGAACTGGGACCTCCACTCAAAATAGTTTCTGTAAGTTTAACAATGTTTTCCATGTGATAGACTTGTTAAATTGCTCAGTTAATAATGCAGAAGACAACACGAACAAGTCAAGGATGCCCACCCTTGCCTATTTTATTCAACATAGTGGTAACTACAGTAATTAGGCATGTCAAAGAAATAAAAGGCATCCTAATAAGAAAGGAAGGAGATAAATTGTTCTTATTTGTAGACAACATGATAATAAGATTGTACTTGGATATCTATGGGGATTAATTGCAGGACCCTTCTCAGATACAAAAATCCACAGATGCTCTACTTCCTAAAGCAAAATATGAGCATATAACCTACACATATCCTTGCATATATTTTAAATCATCTCTAGACTACTTATATTACCTAATACAGGATAAATGTCCTGTAAATAAATAGTAAATTATACTCCATGTATACATGGAGTATACACTGTACTTTTGGGGGAGATAATGATAAGAAAAAGAGACATGTTAAGTAAAGATCAAAATTATTTATTTAAATATTTTTTACTTCCAATTGTTTAAATTTTCCAATGTAGAACCTGAGGATATTTTATATAGAAACCCCTAAAAACTCAACCAAAAACTGTTAGAACTAATGAGCAAATTCAGTAAAGTTGCAGAACACAAATTAAATATACAAAATTATTAGCATTTCTATACACTAACAGCAAACTATCCAAAAAGTAAATTTAAAAAACCACTCCATTTAAAATAGCATCAAAAAGAAAAATACATGTAAATGAAAAAAAAAACATGTAAATGTAACTAAGGAGGCAAAAGACATATACACTGAAATGAAAGAAATTGAAAACATACATTAAGTAAAAGCTGGCTATGTTCATGGATGTGAAAAATTAATATTTTTAAATGCCCACACTACTCAAATGGTTTGCAAATTAAATGTAATCCCTATCAAAATTCAATAGCATTTTCCATAGAAATAAAAAATAAGTAAATAAATAAATAGAATTGAACCACAAAAGATCCCAATAACCAAAACATTCTTGAACAAAGAACAATGTTGGTGGCATCACATCTTACTTCAAAAAATACACTCCAAAAGCTATATTAACCAAAACAGAGTGGTACTGGCATATAAACAAAGAAACCATTAGGACTGAATAAAGAACCTGGGGAAAAAACTTCACATATTTATAGTAAATTGGTCTTTGACAAAGGTGCTAAGAACACACAATAAGAAAAGAACAGTCCCTTTAATAAATGGTTTTGGGAAAACTAGATATCCTAAATGCAGAAGAACTTAATTAGACCCTTATCTCATGCCATATAAAAATCAACTCAAAATGGATTACAGAATGAAGAGATCACCTGAAGAAAGGGACAAAATATTTGCAAAACATTCATAGGATAAAGGGTTAATATCTAAAATATATAAGAAGTTCAACTTAAGAATAAAACAAAAACAAAGAAATAAAAAAATCCCTATTAAATATGCAAACAGCCCAAACAAACACATCTCAAAAGAAAACATACAAATGACCAAGAGGTATAGTCATACATCTCAATGTTTCTATCAACAAAGGAGCACAATACAATAGCAGTCCCATAAAATCAGACCTCCTAGTGACATCACAGCCATCTCAGTGTGAGTAAGTGTAGTCTATGATGTTCACAGCAAGGAAATCACTTAATGATATATTCCTCAGAATATATCAACGAAGGAGTTGATGCATGACTAAGTAGGAAAAACTGCTCAATGTCACTAAACATTAGGGAAATGTAAATCAAAACCAATAAGGCTGAAAATAGAAGGGAGATAAGTGCAGTACAGGAAAGGAGGGAGGATGGGGAA